CTCGGGGGTGGCCGGGCTCCCGCCACCCCCGTGGGCCGAGACCACCTGGATTTACCACGACGGCGAGGACACCAAGATGATCGTAGGCGAAGAGAAGAAATTCCTGCTGCCCTTCTGGCTGCAGGTGATCTTCATTTCGCTGCTGCTGTGCCTGTCGGGCATGTTCAGTGGCCTCAACCTGGGGCTCATGGCCCTGGACCCGATGGAGCTGCGCATCGTGCAGAACTGCGGCACGGAGAAGGAGAAGAATTACGCCAAGCGCATCGAGCCGGTGCGCAGGCAGGGCAACTACCTGCTGTGCTCACTGCTGCTGGGCAACGTGCTGGTCAACACCACGCTCACCATCCTGCTCGACGACATCGCCGGCTCGGGCCTTGTGGCCGTGGTGGTCTCCACCATCGGCATCGTCATCTTCGGGGAGATAGTGCCCCAGGCCATCTGCTCCCGCCACGGCCTGGCTGTGGGGGCCAACACCATCTTCCTCACCAAGTTTTTCATGATGATGACCTTCCCCGCTTCCTACCCGGTCAGCAAGCTGCTGGACTGCGTCCTAGGCCAGGAGATAGGCACCGTCTATAACCGGGAAAAACTGCTGGAGATGCTCCGGGTCACCGACCCCTACAACGACCTCGTTAAGGAGGAACTGAACATCATCCAAGGGGCGCTGGAGCTCCGCACCAAGACGGTGGAGGACGTGATGACTCCACTCCGGGACTGCTTCATGATCACTGGCGAAGCCATCCTGGACTTCAACACCATGTCTGAGATCATGGAGAGCGGCTACACCCGCATTCCAGTGTTTGAAGGGGAGCGCTCCAATATCGTGGACCTGCTGTTCGTCAAAGACTTGGCCTTCGTGGATCCAGATGACTGTACTCCCCTGAAAACCATCACCAAATTTTATAACCACCCCTTGCACTTTGTTTTCAATGACACCAAGTTGGACGCTATGCTGGAAGAATTTAAGAAAGGTGGGAAATTTTGGTCTCTTTCATTGGCTTGCTCTTTCTCTCTCCATCCTCTTCCCTACTTGAGCCCTCTACCCTCAGACCAACCCCCCAAGGCGAGTTGACCGGGATTTCTCCTTCTTTCTCTTAATTGCAAAGTTGAAAGGGTGGCGTGGATTTGGGGATGGATTGAACTAGTAAGTGCTACTAGGTTATTTTAAAGCACAAGACTGCCATCACTTACTTTTTACCATTATCAAAAAGCAGGCTGTGTAATTTCTGTGCATGACACTTTTTTTTTTTGGTTCCGTGTGTGGGGCCTCTGTGCTTGAGGGGTCTGCCGCCTTCATTGTCTGGGTTCTCAGTGGGTAGGTGAAGGTAGGGGCTGGCTGATGCCATGCCATTTGGTTGACTTTAATCACAGGCATTTGGAAAACATGTAAATAGCTTTTGTAAACTCAGTGCAGTCGTTTTCCTTCTCCTTAAACATCCACACTGGCCTTTCAAAGATGGAAGTACATTTTCTATAGCTTCTGTTCCTGCTTGCCTGGCAACTTACCGGGAAGACTGAGGTCTGCCTTTGAGGGTAAGGGGTGGGGTAAACTAAGTATCGCCAAAAAAATCACCCATTTTCGATGTGACTTCTCTTAGCTAGAAAAGTGTTGTTGTTGTTGTTGTTGTTGTTGTTTTAAATTAAAATTATTAATATGTAACTTGGAAAGACTAGCGGTTAGCCAGCCTTTTGTGAAGTGGCTGTATGTCCCGTAGCCTTCTTCACTATTTGTTTACGTTTATCTGACAACAGTTACAGTTGCCCAAACCAAGTGTGATTTTGGCAGAAAGCTTGCACCTTTACCAGTGGGATGAATCCCTCTATTGGGGCTTATTTATTTCTTGACTCTTTCAGTCTAAGTGTTCTTTTTTTCCACCTTGGTCGTCTGATACATTAAACTGAAGTATGTCTCCGTCAACTCTCACTGTTCCAAGGTGAGAAATTATACAGCACATCATTTCTTGCATTGTCGTATTTGTTCGCTTGACCATATAATGAACAGGTAAATAGCAACTTGTACTATTATTATTGAAGTTCTGAATGTTTCCAGTAAAATGTTTCCACTATTTCAAATAGTGTTATTTGAAAACCAAGGGATGCTGAGTTTTTGAATTATTATGATGCTAGTGCATGTGCGGGTACTGAAATGTGTATGTAAACTTTCGTGACCTGATAGTCCTCAAAACCAAGTTTTCCTTCTTCAAATAGAATTTTGATCACTGGTAGTAGTCTCTCCTCTGAAGAAGGTGATATGTACCTAGTGACAGCTCACTGGATATGATGATCTGAACATACTCAAAGAGCATATGGTTGTCCTAATTCCATTTTTCTGGTTGAATGATGCCCTCTTTAGAACAGGATCTCATTGTAGTAATTTTTTTTTTTTTTTTGAGACGGAGTCTCGCTCCGTTGCCCAGGCTGGAATGCGGTGGCACAATCTCCATTCACTGCAAGCTCCGCCTCCCAGGTTCATACCATTCTCCTGCCTCAGCCTCCCAAGTAGCTGAGACTACAGGCGCCTGCCACCATGCCCGGCTAATTTTTTATATTTTTAGTAGAGACAGGGTTTCACCATGTTAGCCAGGATGGTCTCAATCTCCTGACCTCGTGATCCGCCTGCCTCGGTCTCCCAAAGTGTTGGGATTACAGGCGTGAGCCACCGCGCCCGGCCACATTGCAGTAATTTTTATACAAAGGAAAAGAGCAGAATGTGTTTTGAAGATTGGTAAATTTGCATTTAAAAGCAGGAGGTTCTTCTGGTTTCTTAAATAGTAAAAAGAAAATGTCCAGTATCTCTAGGTGACATAGCTTCTTTTGGGGGTGTCATTCTTTCACCATTAAGTTGTTAATTAGAGCATCTAACTTCTTTCATTTTGCAGTAATATCTGTAATACAGAAAGATATGTTGGAATGTTTGGAAATGCCCCTAAAAGTCTTTCTATTGCTAAATTCCCCAATATTGATACAGGTGAGTGATTGCTTGAGTTTTTTATTACTTAGAATTTTGCACATTTACTCATGAATTGATGACACTAGTTTGTACTTCTTGCTGAAGTCTTTTCTTCACTTCTGTATCTTTTTACCTTGAGAATTTCATTTTTCACCTCACAGCTCCTTAATCCTGCCCCTACTCAAAATTTCAAAATTTGTATTATTTTGAAATTTGTGCTTGATTGACCTTGAACAATTTTTCTTGATGGATTTATTTTCACGAGGAGCTCTTTTTCCTTCAGAATTACCACTTAGTATTTTTTTGAAATGTATTCTTTAAATAATGGAATTACTAATATTTCCCCATGAATTCTAGAAAAATAATAAGGTACAAGATTTTATTTTTGTCTTTAACCAGAATGATGTATTTGGTTAAGAAGATAGTCCAAGTTAAAGACATACATTCAAGCTAGTGGCACATTCGGAAGAGCAGGCAAAGATAGTTGGTTGCAAATGGGAAATTTAAGCCATGATCTTAAAAGGACAGAATGGATATTTGTTACTTAAACTGTGGGAATAATTGATTTTTTTCACCTTCCCTTTCTTGGATTTTTTTTTTTTTTAATTAGTTTGGTTACTTTAACCTTACTGTCAGTTATATTGGTTCTTTTTTTATGTCTGAGTTTTTTTTTTTTTTTTTTTTTTGAGATGGAGTCTTGCTCTGTCGCCCAGGCTGGAGTGCAGTGGCCGGATCTCAGCTCACTGCAAGCTCTGCCTC